ATTATTTTTATACTCGAATCCGACTTGACCCGTATATGTTTAAATCTGCAATCAACTTGATTCGATCAGAAACTAATAAAATATTTTTTAAAAAATATTATTTAATATTATTTTTAACTATAAATATAAAAATAACTATATAAATATATATAACTATAAAATTAAATAAAATATATATATCGAGTTAGGGCGAGTTTGTATAAAACTTGACCCTAACCTTTTTTAAAAAAATCCAACCTGACCCAACTCAAAATCCAATTTTAAAAAAAAATGACCCTATAAGGTCGGGTCGAGTCGAAATCCGATGCATACAAGTTTGATTACCAACCTTAGGCCTAAATATAGAGGGATTTTCGATGATTATCATTTATGTAAGGTGTTATCTCGATTTTAGTGAGACAATTTAAAAATCTTTAAATTAGAAATATTTTTAAAGCTCTACCTAATTATAGGAGTGTAAAAGAGGTATTTCAATATTTAAAAAGTTTTTATCTTAATCCAAAACCAAAAAAAAAAAAAAATTTAGATTTGTTTTTGTTTTTTGAAAAAAAATAATTAATTTTAAAAATTAAGAAAAATAGGACTATTTTTATCAAAATTAAAGGATAGCATGTAATCAATTGATACCATTTTTTACAAGCTCTATGAGTATGCTAATATTGCTCCACGCATAACCAACTTTTGGACTTAAACTCTAATTTTGCAAATTGTAAATTTATTCTTTTTTATAAAATTTTTAAACCCGTTTTAAAATATTTTATTAAAAGAACAAAATTTTTAAATGACTAATCACATCATAAAAAAATTGATGGAGATTCTTATTTTGTTTTTATCGAAAATATTTTTAGCTTCTGTTTTTTAAAAATTTTCATTCATTTGACTTTTTGATCACCTACTCCCAAGTCTCGAGACGTCACGAGAATGATACATGTACCTTTTATGTTTAAAAAAATTTATTTAAAAAAGAAATGGCATATATGTTATTATTTTAACCTCACCTGTGAAATTAAAAAATTTTATTGTCAGTGTATTAAATAATTTTTTTTTATTTTAGGTTTGAATTCTTAACATTATATGACTTATATATTCATTACATAAATTATTTCTTAATTAAATACTAAAATTACAAATGTGAAATAATCATTACTATCTAAGCATATTTTTTATTTATAATGTCCATGTTTAGTATCTAAAAATAAGTATTAAATGTATTTGAAAGTAATTTAAAATAATTAAATTGTAACTTATTTATAAAAGACAATAATATTTGATATTTTTAAGAAAATAAATATATCTAATTTAGTCAAAATATATATTTTTAAATTAAAAATTTTATATCAAAATATATTAAAATAATTAATGTAGGATATGTGATGATTACTTAATACCATTTACATATTAAAAAATAAATTATTAATATTAAATTTTTTTTATTTTTAATTTTTATGTATTTATATAAAATTTTAATATTACACCTTCAAAGTATTTGTCGTCATAATTTTTCAAATCTTCTAGCATTTCACGGACAATTTAACCAAATGAGACTTGGAATGAAAATTTAGTCCAACACTAAAATATTATCTTAGTCAGTAAAACAAAAGAACGTTACCTTGGAAGCTGGAACTCCATTTCACTTGGAGCCAGACAAAGGAGATCCAAAAGCAACATGCACGTGCAGTCACTTGTTTGTCCATAGGCTAGTGGACTTAACCGTGCTTTCCCAGTTTACAGTGTCACATCTGTTAATTTAAAAGAAGCTTTGATAAGGTGATATGAAAAAAAATAAATAAATAAATAAAAGTGGTATAATTTAAAATTTTGATTAAAATTATATATAAATATAATAATATTAAAATATATTTTTTATTTTTATATTAATATAAATTATAATATATAAATTTTATTTAAATATAATATAAATATATAAATTATTAATATTTTACGTCACATAAATATATAAATTATTAAATATTACTCACCCTTCCATAACCTTAACGAAGATCTTAAACTAAAATTTTAGGCGCAGTTCCATTGTGTTAGCATGATATTAAATAAATCATATAAAAATAAATTATAATTCATTAGAAATTGCATAACTCATGTATTTTCATTAAAATAAAAGTAGATTTAAAAATAATTGATAATAATATTAAAATTTTATATTTAATTTGGATGACATGAAATATTATCTGACATATTAAAATGGATTAATTTTTATAAAAAAATAGAATAATTTTTTCACTACGCGACACATCAATTTAAAAATTTTCAAAATTTATTATAATTTAATAATGATTAATACTTTTTAAATTCTAAAAAACAAATTTTTAGAATATTCTTTATCAAACAAAAGTTTTTCTTTGTACTAATTTGTGCCATACGATAAAAGAAAGAAAAAAAAAAGTTTAGATTAACATGTTACGTCTTGGGCCAAAAAAGTCATGCAGTAAAATTTAATTATAAAAGTCAACTCTATTATCAATCATCCTGAAGTCTACATTTTATAAAAAATATAGTGATTTTAAATTTATTAAATTAGAGTATAGAATCAAAACCACATAATTGAAATAGTAGACAAATCAAATTGAGAGTTATTATACATGAATATTGATTATGTTTGAGACAGTATTCAGACATGATTTTGATCAGAAGGTAATATTAAAATTCATCTTTAAATCAGTATTCAAGTGCAAGATTTTAATAATTAAATCAATCTGTCCTTTTGTCTTTGGTACTACACAAATGCTTGTTAGTTGCTTGGGAATATCCTTGAAAGCTAGTGATCATTAATTAGATCACAATGAATTGGAATTAAGTTTAACATCTTAATATCTTATAACTTGTTTGACTATTTCATCTATATTATTAATAAAGTGCTGACAGAATTAGGTATCACTGAATCCAAGTCAATAAATTGACATAAACTCGAATTAATCATAGTAAATATATATAATAAGAATAAATTAAATTATGTTAAAGGTCTTTATATTTTGTAAAAATTTAAAAATTAATCAATGTGTTATAATTCATATAAATTTACTTTATGTACTATTTTAATTTGATAATTTTAGACTAATTACTAATTTCATCAATTTTTTCTATTAAAAATGTTAAAATGACTATTAACTTGATGACACGAGCGTTAAGTTTATTGATGTAGCGTTGACTTGTTAACGTAAAAACTTAAATTAATGAAATCAATTATTAAATTTTATAAATGATTCTTATATTTATACAAAATTTGAAATTTAATATTTATATTTGCACAAAATTTAAAATTTATTCCCTTTAATATAAACATATTTTGGATTTTTTAGAAAATTTATATTTTTAAATATTAAATTTACATTTGTCATTTTTTTTAATTTCATTTTTGAAAGTTTTTTATTTTTTTATTTTTTAATATTTAGAAATTTTCTAAAAATTTTCAATATTTTCAATTTTTTAGAACTTTTCTAGTTTTTTAAAAAATATTAAAATTATTTTTTTTAATATTTTAATATTTTAAATAAAAATCATTTTTTAAAAATTTTTATGTTTTCCAATTTTAAAATTTTTAATCAAAATATTTAATTTTTGGTTTTTAACATTTTAAAATTTTTATAAAATTTTTTATATTTTTATATTTTTTATGTTTTTAGAAATTTTATATTTTTTTAATATTTAATGAAAATAAATAAATAAATAATAAACAATAAAAAAGACATAGGTCTTTAGAATTTGTTCTGTTTAATATATTTGAGATGGAAGAACATAAAAATCTAGATAAAATAGAGACATAGCAAAACATAAAATGTTTCATATTTCAATTTATTCTTCATTTGAATATGATAAAAAACAAAAAACCTGTAAAAATTTTTAAGAACTTATAAACTCTTTTTTAAAACATAAAATATTATAAAAATTTTCTAAAAAAATGAAAAATTTTAGAAAAGTTCCAAAAATAGAAAATAATAAAATTAAATATTTTATTTAAATAAAAATGTTAAATTTTGAAAAAAATAAAAAATTTGAAAAAAAATTAGATTAACAAATTAAAATATTGAAAAAAATTTTAATATTTTAAAAAAACTAAAAAATTTATAAAATTTGAATAAAAGACTATTTGTATAATTTAATCATTGATTTTATTTATCTAAATTATTACGTCAATAAGTCAACACTACATCAGTAAAGTTAACACCACATTAGTATTTTAACTATAAAAATTGATAAAATTTGTGATTAGATTAAAATTATCAAATTAAAATATTATAAAAATTAAATTTATATGAATTATAGTCTAAGGATGAAATTTTAAATTTTCACAAAATATAGACTTCTTACATAATTTGACCTAAAGGATATAAATATCATTTAATATAAAATTTAGATATTTTTAATTAATTTTGTTTTGAAACTTTTTACACATACAATTGAAAAAACTATCAAATACTTTTATACTTCATATTTACGTATAATTTTTGCTCAATTAGTATATGGGCATAACAAACATAGATTAAAAGGAAGGAAAAGTTGATAACACAATTAACTTTTGAGTATTTCTTTGATAAAAATTTTAATAAATTGTTGAAAAATGTCAAGAATGTGGGATCACTATCTCCAATACTCATCTGCCACATTGTGATAAATCAATGGTTACCTGCCCACTGGAACACATCGCAAACGTAACCTATAATAATATCAATGATTCTTACGATATAATATATGATACGGAAATAATAAAAATTATTATATAAATTTAATAAAAATAAAGAATAAATTTTATATTTAATAATATACTTGTATGATAATTTTTAAGATATAAACATGGTACGCATGATAGGAATTAACAGAATTAACAGATCTACTAACGGTTTCTCTATCTGGCTACACGAATTCTCCTCCAACTTGTTAAAAACTCGACAAAGTCACAGACAAAAACAAATGCTATAATTTTCATAAAATTTTGCACTTCACTACTTGTCTTTTTAATATCCACACAAAATAAATATCTTCCTTTAACCTTAACCGCCAATTCATTGCCTTCCTCTAGTCACCGCTACCCATATTTTCCTTTACCAAGAAAACAAAACAAAAAGAGATAGAGAATTTGATGAAGAATAACAAAATGATGAGCTAAGGTGAGTTCATCTTCTTCCTCTTCATCAAATTTCTCAATCTTTGTCTTTGTTTTTTTGTGTCTTTCTTGCAATCCCAAACTAACCCCGATTTGTTGTTTTTTTTTCCCTCACCTTATTATATTCAAAAGAAAAAGAAAAAGATTTTTCATGTTATGTTTTTGTTTTGTTTCTTAAACAAAGAAAAATTTTTTCAGAGATTATTTTGGATATGGGCCTTTGCATTTAGACTTATTATCTTTAATTATACGGGCGTCAGAAACCCATATCAGATCTCAGTAACCCCAGCATAATCTTCCTTCATTCACCTGTTTGGCTGTTTTTGGGTGCATCCACTAAATCTCGTTCTCATTACATGACAGCTGTTTAGGTTGTCTGTACGGCTGAGCATTTTCTTAAAAATTAGAAGAAAAAAAAGAGAAAAAAAGGAGCTCCCTTGTACTTGTTAACCTTTCCTTTTGGGGTTTCGAATTGGTTGTGAGGTAATTTATCTGTTTACCAAATTTTGTTTTTGAAAAAAGAGAAATTTTTCCTCTTGTATTATTATTAATCTTTATTCTGATCAGACCTTGACAGGGGAGGCCCACCTTTGGGGTTTGGTGGGCTTTGATATTTACCAATAAAACCCCCCCTTTTTTGTTTTCTTCAAAGTGTGATATTTTGAAGATCCCACTTTGTCTTCGAAGGGAAGAAGAGGGACATTTGGGTTCTTCCATTGATTTTTTTTTTGTTTGCCTTACATAATTGATTTTGAGTTTTTGACCGATAAAAGAATTCCCTTTTTCTTTCTTTTTTTTTTTTGGAATGCTACTTTATCTCTTCATCACTTGTTTCCCCCTCATCTTTTTTTTAAAGTCCCTAACTTTGAAACCACTCGCAGTCCGGGCAACTGAGACTAGATTATTGTCTCCCTGGTTTTGGAAAAAAATTTCCTTTTTTCCCATTTACAGGTTGATCAAAAATAGTCTTAGTCTTAGTTATTTTACCACAATCCTTTCCAAAATGTCTTTAACTTCAAAAGTTGATAACTTAGAGGAGGTCGAAGAAGGCGTGATGTCAGTTTTGGACTTACCAGAATTGGTCTTGGAATGCATTCTTGAAAGGCTACCACCTGATGGTCTTTGTAGTATGGCAGGTGTTTGCCGCACTTTAAGAAATAGGTGTATTAGTGATCATTTATGGGAAAAACATATGAAAAAGAAGTGGGGTAGAATTATTGGTCCTGCTGCTTATAGAGAGTGGCAATGGTCTAAAGCTTTAAGAAGGGATTCAAGTCATATAAAACAGGGGAAGCTAAAAGGTTTAATGAGGATTTTATCAATTGTTAGGCCATCTTGGTGGATTAAATCAAAGGTTGATGATAGTAGTAAGCAGAGTTCTTTGCCAGATGATTCGATCATGTCTTGGTTTCTTGCTCTAGAAACTGGCAGATTCTGGTTCCCTGCTCAGGTCTATAACCGTGAGGTATAGATTCTGAACCTCCAAAATCCGAGCTGTAAAATCAGCTATACATTTATGCTAATACCAAATTTTAATCAGCAGTTTTTTCTATTTTTGTTTCGATTCTAAATACCTTTTTTTTTTTTTTTTCTGCTTTGTAGAGTGGCCATGTTGGGTTTATGCTCTCATGCTATGATGCAGAACTCAGTTATGATTCTCGCACTGACAGCTTCCAAGCAAGGTAATTTGAGAGTCGAACATAATTTTGATGGTGGTTTTTTTGTTTTGAAATATTCTCATACTCTGTTCTGGAAGATTAAATTTGGTTCTATTTCAAAGGATCAAAATAGGCCTAATGCTTGGATATTAAACTGGTGTATTGATATAAGACTGGTTTGATAATTTTAGGTACCCTCCACATGGAAGGAGGGCAGTGGCCATAGAGAATAGCGTGCCATGGGAAAGGCTAAGAGCACCACCTGTGGATACTTCGCCACATGATCTTCATATTTCTGATTGTTTGAATGAGCTACGCCCAGGAGATAACATTGAGATTCAATGGAGAAGAAACAAAGAATTCCCTTATGGTTAGTTCTTCATACCAATCCCTTTGCAATATTTCATAAGTTTATTTTGTTTTCCTCTACAGCTACTTGGAATGCTATCCTATGGAGGCTTGTTAAATTTATTTCCAAAATTTTCCTCAAAATTTAGGTTGATTTAAGATGAAAAGAATTGAAAGAAGGGTTTCATGAACCTTCAAGCAAGAACTGGTGCAGTGTTCAGAATGATGAGTTCACATATATATTAAATTTGTTCTTTTTAAGACCTAAACCATCAAACAGCTAATCAACTTTCCTTTGAAGAAGACTTGTTCAACCTTAGTGATATCATTACTGACTTTAAATATCATCTTAATTTCTATGATGAGTAAAAGGAAAGCTTTTAATTAGGTCAAATTATGATAATAGTCTTTGTAATTTAATGAAATTAAAAATTCAATCTTTTTATTATAATTATTTTTATACTATTTTAATTTGATAATTTTAGTTCAATCTTTAATCTCATCAAAATTTTACCTTTAAAATATTGATGATCTAAGTATCAATCCTATTGACGTAACATTAACTTTACTTACATGACATTGATTTTGCTAACGTGACAACATTTAATAAATGAAATCAATTGTAAAATTATGCAAATAATTTTATATTTATACAAAATTTGAATTTTAGTCCTTTTAATATAATTTATAAAAATCTCATCCTTGTACAAGTTTTTTTTTTTTTCTTTGAATAATTTTCTCATACAAGTCATATTTGATAATATTGGTCCAATTACTAATGTCATTAATTACTTTCCTTCATCTTTGCTGATGTAACCATTATTTTTTAAAAAATCATTTGAAAATTAAAAACATCATATTTTTTAAAATTTTTGAAAAATTAGAAAACCCAAAAAATTAAAAAAAAAAATGATGTTTTATGCTTTTTTATACTTTCATAAAACATTAAATTTAATTTTTAAAAAAATTTTAATTTTTTAAAAAAATTTTTAATTTTTTAAAAATTATATTTCTTGAATTTTGTTAACAATTGAATTTTAACTTTAAAAAATTTTGAATTATTTAGAAAATTTTCTGATTTTAAAACTATTTATTTTTTTTAATAATTTAATTTTTTTAAAAAAATAATATGTCTAGAATTTTTGTGAAAAATCAGATTTCATTTTTCTTAGAAAAATAATTTTCAATTTTTAGAATTTTATAATATTTACTAATATTTTATTTTCCAAACAAAATTTAAAAATATTATTTTTTTAAAAGATTAGAATATTAGAAATTTTTAATTTAATATTTTTTTAAAATCCAAAAAGCCTAAAAAATCATTTTTTTCTACTTTTTTTATCATTTTTAAATTTTTCAGATTTTTTTTTAATTTTAAAAACTTTTTAATATTCAAATAATTTTTCTAAAAAGATAATGGTTAGGTCAACAAAGTTAATGAAGAGTAATAGATCATATTAATAATTAGATCAATATTATTAAATTCAACTTGTACGATGACACAATTTTTATAAATTATACTAGAGAGATTAAAATTCAAATTTCGTGTAAGTACAAAAATAATTGCACAATTTGACAATTGATTTTATTCATTCATATTGTCATGTTAGTAAAGTCAATATTTACGTCATCAAGTTAATGGCTACATCAACATTTTTAACAGCAAAAATTTGATAAGGTTAATGATTGGATTGAGATTATCAAATCAAATAGTATGAGTACTACATTTCTATAAATTATAATAAAGAGATTAAGTTTCAAATTTCGTTAGAATATATAGACTATTATCATAAGTTGACCTGAGAAAAAGACTCTGTTCACTTTTTATAAGAAGAATTCTTAATCACTGTTCAAATCAATCTTCTACAAATAATTTAGTGCAATTGGTATGCCTACAGATTGCTTTTAAATAGTTCATATTAATAGTTTTATAGTGATTCTATTGCTGATAAGATTGTCATATGTATTGCAGGTTGGTGGTATGGTGTCGTTGGTCACCTGGAATCATGTGATGGGAATGAAAATTACTGCCATTGTCATAGTAGTGGTAAGTTGCTCTCTTCTTTTCTTCTATCAAAGCACTCTATAATATTCCATAAGATTGCCTAGAAAATGGGAATCTAACTACCAATTGTGTCAAGAAATATTGCTTTCGTACAGCAAGCATCCCGTTTTATCTGCGTTCTAAGCAACTCCTAGGGGCATAACTTCTGTATCTAAGATGTCAACACAAAATGGAAAAAATCTACTCTTGTTTTGAAGAGTTGTTTCAAATTTTGTTACTTATGTCTAATATTCTTGAAAGAAGATATTTGCAAATTGGGAATGAGATCAATATACTTTCATGGAGGACACCCAGTTTAGAATAGGTCGCTTTCGTGAATCTCATTTTTCCAATACAAGGGCCAGACAATGTGCTGTTGGGTTGGTCCCCAAAGACAAATCACTATCATTATGCCATAATTTCCTCCAGCAATATGATAACTTCTGTCTCAGCAGAAATATTTATGGCGAACCACACTGAAAGAACCCAATGTCTCCTATGGACCCTACTTGTTTGCTTCTTTGGAATCTTTAAGCTATGTGGGGCTGCAATGGTTGTTCTACAAATCTAAATATTCATTTATTTTCTGTCTTTTTTTCACAAGTTCGGAAACCAACAGAGCTCAAATGCCCCACTAGTCAAGGTACATCAGCACTAAAGAAAGGGTTTCTTTTGGTAATCATTTGCAACTTGCACATTTGTTGCAATAAACATACTTTAAGCAGACAAAAAAGCCTCAGTGTATAATTGTAAAAGCATCTTGCTTTTATGATCTTGCGCTTGTTAGAAGTCAATTTTCGACTGAGTAAAGACCTTTCATTCATTTCAATTCAAAAGGTACATCGTTTTTTCGAAAGATGTTTTGTTTCATCCATTATCTTATAACTCAATTTTGGGATTCCCAGAAATTTTCTTGATTGATTATTTACTTTTACTCTTAATGGTGGAACAAACTGCAAAATGAGAAATGTTGTTCTTACAGTTACAGGAACTATAATGGTGCTTGAATAAAAGCTTTAATTATGGGTATTCAGTTGAATAGACAGTTTTAAAATCCTGCATCATAATTGATGTTTGAGTTATTGCCTGGTTTCTAACATCCGAGTGATGCTAACAGACACGGTGGTGTTAGAGTTCAATCATTACACCCCTGGCTCAAGGTGGAGTCGTACAACAATCAATAGGAAAGACCATCGAGAGGAGGGAGGTGAGGCAGATGGATTTTATGGGGGAATCAGAAAACTTAGCGGCGAGGAGGAGATTTCTACATGGAAGCGGCTCTGGCCATCCAAAATCCTGGAATAGCCGTGTGCATAAATACGCATGCTAATGTCACCATGATTTGAATGCAAATGGTCTATTTTCCTTCCAACAAGGCAAATTTATCAAGTTTTTGCTCTAAATGGTGCTTCTGGAAATCGAAAATCTACATCAAAATTGCATAAATATTCTTCTATTTATCAACTCGGGTTACTCGCCATATCCCACTATCATGTAAAGTTTTTGTTGAAAATCATCTGGGAGCCCATTGATTATTGAAAGAATAGAGAATGGCAACTTTATGGAACAGGTGATGTTGGATTATACTAAGAGTAGTCTTCTTTTATTCCCATTCATCTTTGGATTTTTTAACTTAAAATCTTGAAATGGAGTCTTAAGCTCCAACATTTGGAGCGTCTGTGTATATAATGAACTGAAAAATTTTAGAGTTCGCTTTTGTCTATAATCTCTTCCTTGCAAGTGTACACACTCGTACACTTAACTTTAAAAGCAAAAAAAAAAAAAAAAAGAAGTAATTCCATTAAAAAGCAAACAATACCCGAATTATTTAAGGAAAAAGATGCAAACATATTTCTTTTAGTAGATTATGGAAGTTAAAGTTATATCATAGTTTGTTGCCAGATTAAAGGTATTTTAGGGTTCATGTGATCCCAACATGCTATGATGTTTGGATTCACATGATCCCAACATATATGATAAATATACTATGAAGATGATAAACAAAGCTACATCAGGGTTCATATGATTCCAACAGACAATGATGCTAACTAAAATATATATATATATATATATATATTATATTGATATTTACCAAACAAAAGTCCAACTTGGTAGCTGGCTTGTGTATCTCACATATACAGGAACTAGCAGTTCCTTTAGCCAGCCTTTACACGAAGATCAAGAAATTAAGCACCACTGTTCACACAACAGAGACTCACGTAAACATCTAGGGACTGATTTTTAGGCGAGTTATAAACACAATGTCAAAGAAGAAGAAAATAAAACAAAGAAAGATCTACTCCATTGGTTACCCTTTCACCGCACATATTTGGCCCCGTAACCCACACAAAGCAACAACTTTGGTCTATATTGTACAAGTGTCATTCGGGTCACTCCAGACACCCTCTTTTCCTCATTGTATTGTGTTAATCCCATCCATTTAAAGCTAAATTTCCTTATAAGGTTTGGCCTTGACTCTGTTGCATTTGAACTTTTAGTCTTGTCCTCATTGCTTATTTTTCTCATGGATCCACTCCTGAATATAAAGTTCTTGATTTTTTGTCTCTTGGTTTCCTTCGTACAAATTACTCCTGCCCCCACTGTTGGAGTGATTAAACTGGGCTTTCTGGGTTTTTCCTGCTCCACGTTTACAAGCCTTGCTCGCCTTGCAAAAAGAACTCCCTTGGGTTCTGCCAATTTTATTGAGCTTTTCTTTACTTGTCTCACCTGCTCTTTTCGGCCCATTTGCCCGTTTTGACCTGTTGGAACCGACATCAAAAAGGTTGATTCATTGCTCTCCACCCTCATGTTTAAGTTGGGCTCTGATTGTCGTGTTGGCAATATGAGACCCATTTGATCAATTTGATGTCTGCTTGGGCCTGACAAGTCATTGGTTCCATTTGGGCTTTTCCCCCTAAATGGTGACATGGACTGAGCCCGTCTATTATTTTGTGCTTGAGATTTCCAAAAATTTTCATCCTTGACATTCTCCAACGCTACCATGAACGGATCAAAATCATCATTCCACAAGCTCCTACGATGAAATGGAAGTCTTAGGACACCAGTTGGCGACCTGGGGGATGATAAAGTTGAGCTTGGTTTATCAAACTTCTTTTCATTGGGATACTGAAGTCGTGGCGGAAGCGTCAGGGGCATGACTTTCCCATCAGAAAATAGTTCATCAGCAAATGCCATGGCAGGAAGTGATTCCTTACGAACATGGTTTTGAAGTGGATCCTCCAATTGGGACTTACACTTCTGCTCCGGTTCAACTTCATATTCATCAACATTGAAAAAACGACTACTTTCAAACTCGAATTCATCAACATTGGAACTCGAACCTGCACAAGTTTTTGGTGTTGTTAGCTCAGTGTGAAGATCATATGCAGCCTTCAGGGTCCTTCGAGTGGGACTAGTTGGGACGCTATGGAAACACAAACCTTCCAGGCTGATTCTCCTTGGGCTGGCAGGGGCACTTGTATAGAGAGTATCATTTGGCGTTTGAGGTGTCATACTCATAGTTTCCATCCTGCAAAAGCCTTGGCTGGCTACCAATTTCAAGATTGTTAGCTGGCTTGGAAAACAGATTCTGAAAACAGAAACCAATTTTAGCTGCTGAATTGAAGGGAACCCCACTTACATGCATTCATATATCAAAAGCTGGGTCAACAGCTTCCAAATTATTCTTCAAAGCTTAAAACTAGCTATTAGTAATATATTCAGGAGAAATTCCGGGTTCATGTCCCTAGAGCTATCTGTTTCCGACAGCTTACTACTAGCACTCAAGATTATATTCAAAAAGCAGAACTTGTATATTGTCAAAATATTGTCAGTATGACTAATAGTTTATTAATTTCGTGTCTAAATAAAATTACAAAACAACTATTCCTAACCTTGTTGTTTTGTGACTGATCCAAGACCAGACATTTGTCTATACAATTGTTGGAGCATATACCGTTGCCTGAAGATACCTGGCTTTGTAATTTGTTAAATAATTTATAGAAGTTCAAGTAGAAAATAGAAACAAAATAAAGTTTCTGCCAGGCAGTTTTGTCTTTGGCCGTAGTTCAGCTAATGGATTACAAATATTAAAATTTAAATTTATATCTATTAAATATAATCTTTTAAGGATGATTGAATGAACCAATTAATTTAAGTTATAGATCTGTATTATCTTCATTTGGATCTTAGGTATCATGCTAAATAATTGCTAAGGAAATCAAACATCCTGGCTTTGATTTCCCCATGGGTGTTAATTCTAGCACTTGAGTCACGGAGCTTGATCTTTGTTTGATAATAAATCCAGACAATTGATATCAGTCAACCTGAAAACCAGCTCGTGATATATTCCACAAGCAAATTATGAATATGGTACTGAATATTGGAAATCTATTACTTAATTTTGTTAGAGAACAGCAAAGAAAGAGTATCCATGTGTCATCTGTTCCTTCCTCTATTCTTTATTTTATTTTTTTTTATTAGATAAATTCTATAAAAAAATTTATAAAATAAAATAATTTATATTTAAATGGTTTTGATTCGTAGCTATTCAATATAAGTATTTAAAAAAAAAAAAAAGATTGAATTGCATCTTTTGGTTTGAAATTGAAATCAAGTTAGAGATGAATTTAAAATATTTCACTCTGTCTTGGATCTTCATTTGAACTTTTTCTCTCTTTTTTTTTTATTTTTTTTGTTTTTTTTAAAGCTTTTTTTCTTTAAATTTTTAACAATTACATTTTATTAAATAAATTTTGTAATAAAAAAATCAATTAAAATAAAAATGATAAAATAATCCGTGATGAATTTTGATTCATCTAATCAAATTGATACACCTTTTTTTTAATTCAAGATAATTGGATTTTTTTTTTAAATTGAGTTCGAGTCAAAGTGAGATTTTAAGTGTTATATTTTGATTTTAATATATATAAATTTTTATTTTTTTAATTAAGTCTATATTTATATATTATTAAAAAATATTATTTAATACTTTAATTTAATAAATTTATGTACCATCTTATTTTACTTTTTTGTCTTTTTTATTTTTTAAAATTTTATTTATTAGATAAATTTATTAAAAAAAATCAAGAGATGTAGGGATGAGAAACAATCTATATCCAACAAATTTCGATTTATCATGATTCAATAGATATGATTTTTTTTTCAAATAAAGATTGTATTAAGTTATGCTTTTTGAAAACTTTGAGTCAAGTTATAATCGAATTTGAGATATTTTATTTTAATTTAAATCGAAATATATAAAAAAATATATTTTATTATTTATTTAATTTATATATGTATTATATTAATAAAAATATTATCTAATACTTTAATTTCATAGAAAATTACATTTATATATAATTAAATTTTAATTTATATTAAAAAATAAATACATTATATTTGTTTATGTATTATCACCCATTAAAACCTAAAATAAAAATTTACTTCTCTCATATTTAAAACATAATTTTAAAAAAATATATCCCACAATGAAATGCAGATCTGATTTTAATATTTTTAATAACAAATATATAAATTATTATTAGCGTGAAGGAAACCTTGGATTTTGTCCCTCCTAAAGTTAAAACGGTATCCAAACCAAACTATTTAGTTGTTGATGTCGGAAAGTATTAGTTATTGCCATATAAAAAGAATTCTCATGCTGTAAATCTTTTTTAAAAAATTGGCATAAAATAAATAAAAAAAAATATTATAAAAATATTACAATTAGCCTAAATGGTTGTACGTATAATTTGTCTGTAATAAATGTAAAGAAGTCCAGTGGAAAGCGTGAATTGGAAAATTTGACTTAAATAAAATATATGTTGATGTATGAATATATGTATATCATATACATATATGTATGTATACATATATATATATATATATATATTATATAAAGATATGTCCAATTGCTAAATAAAAATTTAGATGGCGACTTTCATTTTTTTTGCCCACAAACTTCTGGTTTTTAATATAGACGAAACGATATTAGTCGCTGTTATTAAAATTTTATGAATGAAGCTAGTTCTTTTTGAATTATTTTTTTAATAAGCAGAAATTTTTTGTTGGTTAAAAGAAAATTAAGGAAGAAGAAATGTTAATAATGAATCCGGTGATGGAATTGGGTTATGTTGGCGGTACCAAGAGCTTGATTGTTTCAGGGATAAGTTGTCAGCAATCAACATTAGCAAAAATCAATAAAAATCAGATGCAGACAGCTTGAAAAAGAAGAACAAATCACGAGCTTAAGGATCAAGAAAGAGAGTAAGAACAAGAAGAGGGAAATTGTAATTTTTATTCATGAATAATCCTCTGGAATTATAATTTATTTATACAGAAAATGGAATGAAGATTTACAACCAGATCAGATATCTTCTCCAATCTGCTAACAAAATTAACACACATGAAGAGAAACAAAAAGCTGATTCAAATCATGTTTTTTTTTAAAAAATTTTTAATCGACCACTGAATCCCCCTATATTTATTTTCTATATTTATATAAAAAATAAAATAAAACTTTATATTATGTTAATTTGTAACATTCAAATATTAATTTTAATAATATATTTCAATATTAATTCTAATAACATATTTTTAAAAAATTATGAAATTCAACTAAATATGATTTAAAATTTTAAAGAGATTGAACCCTGCTAAAATTTTCATTTTAATTAAAATCGATTACTCTTTCCTAGAGAAAAACCCCATTAGGCTAGAGAAATGCACCCACTAGCGAGGGACACGCCTTAAAGCCGTTAGACAGCGGAAGCATATCCTTGAAAAACAAACAGCCCCTGCACAATTTTTTTTCCCGGGTTTAAGCAAAAGCAGGAATTACGGGTGTAGAATGAGAGGAATTGAATGAATCTTCCATGGAAACACAGTTACTAAAACCCCATCCTCAAATCCATTACATGAACTCACTCTCCTCCAAGCTAAAACCCCTTCTCTCTTCTTCTTCTTCTAAGCTTGTACCCTTCTCCTCATTCTCTCTTTCTCTAACCCCAAGCCACCACCCATCATCATCAAGGAGAAGGGTTTCTGCAAGGAACAGCCTCAAGCTCTCTGTTGATGCTGCTACTATGAATGAGGGTTGGTTGGACTCTCTGTCTTGCCCTTTACCGTACAACGGAGAGGGTCCGACCCAGACCGATGCGGATTCCAGTTGGGTCATTGGTGTTGACCCTGACCTCTCTGGTGCCTTGGCCATCTTGAAAACTGACTCCTCCGGTTGCTCTGCCAAGGTACATTTTGCTAACTAGTTAATTGGGTCATAAAAATTTTGCAATAGGTTGGACATGGATTTTCTTACTAAATTGTATGGTAGGTATTTGATACGCCGCTGTTGCCTGTTCGAGTTGGCAACAGAGTTCGAAAACGTTTAGATGCCAGGTCTATTATTCAGTTGGTTCGAAGCTTAGAGGCTCCAATTGGTATGTATGATCATGATTTGCTGTGTGTGTAAAATACAAGGTTGAAATTCTGTTTTTAACTCCACTTGTTTTATACTTCGGCATTGATTGAGCTTGCCTTACTTCAGGTACTTCTGCATATATAGAGAAATCTATCCCCTTTCCGAAAGATGGGAAACAGGTCAGCGTTGTTACCACACAACAGAATGTTGGTTGGACCTTTTCAAATTAGTTTTATTATTCCTGGCTCCTTCATCACTGCTGTTATTTGTCTCTTTTCTTGCAACTCTAATTTGTTGTGCTAGGCTTTTTATTGGTGCTATTCCTTGGTTTATGCTTGAGCTATGGACTGATTATGATTGTAATCCCTTGTGAAGGCAACCGATCCTCTACAATTCTGTTGCCTTAAATGGTTTGTAAGTTATTTTTACTTTGGGTACATATGGAAGCCTTTAAGGCTTGAACTACACAAAGGGAGGTAGCTCTTACCCATCCCATAAAATCCAGTCTTCCCTTACCCAAAATCCTAACTGACACCTTCAAGTGGAAATCGCTAGCTCTAATTGTTTGTGTGTCCTTTTGTGGACTTTTTTTTTTAGCATCTTTACTTCCTTATTCTCATACATTTATCCGTAGGAAAAAGAAATGTTGGATCAATTGTTCCAAGATTTAGTTCTTGATGAGGTTATTTTCTAATGTCAGGGCTGGTGGAGTGGAGGATTTGGGTATGGATTATGGATCGGGATACTAGTTGCCTCAGGGTTTTCTGTAGTTCCAGTGTCATCTTTGTTGTGGAAGAAAGAGTTTGAACTCACTGGAGCTGGCTCTACAAAGGTTGGTATATTAGTGTTATTATTCAATGATTGATTCATGCCTATTGACCAAGTTATAATTTGAGCTAAACGAGGTAGACAGTGCATTTATGGCACCAGATCTGTAGCTGAGTCTAAGAAAATAATCAAGCTTTTTGAAGTTTTTCTTTCCATGGGCATCAGTCTCAATCATTGCATGCAGGAATGTGTCTTATGTTTCACGGCGTTAGTTTAAGCTATTATTGCTGTGTTAATTGTGATTTTTACAAGCTTCCTTTATTTATCATCATTCTGGTTTTTGACAGGATGATAGTCGGAGAATTGCATCAACTTTGTTTCCCTCATTGAGTGATCTATTAAAAAGGAAAAAAGATCATGGTATGTTCTCTGGTTTCCAAAGACATAGCAGTCTAATCTCTATTCATTATTGTTAACACTTAACAGTATAGAACCTCCATTTGCATTCGATAAAATTTCCTTCCATCTGCTTTATTGTAGTCCATATGATTATTTTTCTGTGCCCTTTATTTCCAATAGACATTAGTCTCATTTTGTTAGTAGAAAATTGCTTATAAGCTCTTAATGGCTAAAGCTATGTGATTTTTTTTTCTGCCTTGTTCCCAATCAACTTGCTAGGATAAAACTGTCTCGTTTCAACTTGTTGGCTGATGCTACTCAGCAAGCCCTTTGTGCCTATGCTACCTTTGAGCCTTGACAAATTAACATACTGATCTGTGAAATGGTATATTTTCTTTTATGGCTGTGCTAATTGTGGAGATCATGAAGTTAGGTGATACAGTTGCTTTCTCATCCTCAGAGTCTTGTACGGTAGCAAGAACCAACTAGTTAAGTAGTTTCAAGGCCTTTTTATGTATAAACCTTAGAATCTGGTGACTGACCATTCCCAATGTTTTACAACTGAATTCTGAAAGAAATGCAGCCTGCAGACGTATTAAAAGCTGATGTCCATAAATATGCTGCCACCCAACATCTTAAGTGATTCATGCAGTGTGCATCATGGATCACATGCTCCTCATAATTCACTACTCTTAGCAAATGGATCTTTCCAATTGTAGATTTTGTTTGAGTTTTGACCTGATAATGGAAGATAAAGTTTGATTTAAGCAAGGTCTCCCTAATTTTATTTATAGATCTTCTCTCATTGGCATTTGTTAACTTGATTATTTTCTCATTGGCTTCTGTTTTCTTTTGAACTTTTAAGGAAGGGCTGAGGCTCTTCTCATTGCTGCATATGGGAAAGGCCTGAGAATGAAGGTAGATCCATCACTTGAAATGGTGGTTCCATGAAGCCAGCAGTTTGTGCAGGCGGCCAACTACCCATAACAAACTTCATTACATTGCTACAATTTGAACAGTTAACCATCTATTAACGCTGATTTGAATGGTTAATACTTAATGGTATGAAAATAGGAAATTATAGACTGCAGCTTGAAGATTGCGTTGAGAGAGCTCTAATGTCTCTAAGCTTATTGAGAGTAAGGTAGCTTGACTGGAGTTGTATGTTATTCTTGTGGAACCAATATCCTTGCAAGGTACATGCTGTGTAAGTTAGCACATGAAGTAATATTTTCAAATGAAAAGCATTTTTTTTATGGAGCGATGTGCAATTTTGCATTTATATTTCCTCCATTATTGTTATGATATATTGCAGTTTAGCTTTTACATAAGTTCTCAACATGGTTTCATTTTCCATCCTAGTAATTAGGATACACGTGGAAGCCATTTCTGTCGGTGGATGTAGGATTTGATGCTATATTTATTTCATATAGCTCTCTAAATTCCATGATCGGTTTGCATATGAGATTTGCTTCAGAGGGAGATGACCTTAACCTTTCCCCACCAAGCATGATTGAAACTAGTTAATCCCATTTTGAAGAATATGGTTGATGAATAAGATCATGCTGTTGTGAAACAATGTAAACATAGAAACCCAAAATTGAACTCAATTATTTCATACAATTATTTTTAAAAGTGAAATAATTTAAAAGATCTAAAATTCAAATTTCAAAATTTGAAACCACTTTCTTTATCCTTAGAGACTTTGGCCTCTCTTGTAAATATATATATATATATATATATATATATTATCTATAGTTTATATGAAACAAGCAGAATAATATTGAACTCGTGAAGATACTAGCTACCTACCATTCACTTTTCTCATGGAATTGAAACTTTGCAGCTATGGCAAATTTTACAGATCAATTTTGAACAACCCAACCAAAATTTGATAGTGCCCAAATAGACTAATAGGGCTTCTGAAAAAACTGATACAAACAGACAATTCAATCCAATGCTGCAGTGCAAGCCCTTCCAACCCTATGAACCCTGTAATTAAGAGCATGCAAAATTTTAAAAAGTATTTTAGTAGCAAATTTCTAGTAGCCCTCTGAATCTTTTCCTTTCTGAGCATGAATCATTTGGCACAAGAACATTGCATACAAGCGGCTAGTTGAACCATTTTGATATTAGATCTAGTTCCTTTCTTTTTCTTCCATCCTTATGTATATTACTAGCTTCTCCAGATATTCCCCTCTCCTGAACCCGAGTTTCCACCGTCCAATGTTTATTTAGCACCTCAACCGCTCTAGCAAAGTGTGATTTCAAAGATGACTCCTTCGAGATTTCCAACCACAGACCGTGTCCCAGCTACTTCATTTATCAGCATACCATGTTGAGTAGCTTCTGCGATAACCATCAAATCCATCCTGCACATAAATTCCAACATGATTACATTTTTTTTAAAAAAAAAGCTGGATAGAAATGAAAACCTTAGTCTACAACAGTTTGACATGAGAGTGATTGTAAAAATGACACCATGCTTGCACCATAAACATTATATCAACTTGAATTTAAGTTCTAAAGAAGAAATAAAATCCAAGAAAAGGTTAAAATCCCAATAAAAAAAAGTAAATTCTAGCGGACTTTAGGCAGCTTTTTATCAAATTTTACAAATAAATATCACTTAAAATGAAAAATCCATAGCTGCGAACAAAGGGTGCAATGCAAGAGGAAGGTACGAAACTATAAGGCAAAAGTCATCAGGCATAAAATTTGTAAATCATAAAGGTTTTGGATTTTGGACCTTTTAGCTAAGTCTGAACAACACTGCAACCTCTAACAAGTAAAGGTTAAGTTTTGCTCAAATTTTGCTCTTGCTGGATAGAGTTAACATGTGACCAATATGTTTGAATTCCAACAACACATATCATTTAAATTTTTATGCATTTTGGAGGTAAATTATGAGATAAGATGCCATTTTCATAAAAATATATGTCTAACCCTCAGTGAGTGACAGAAAAATCATGATGGGGTCAGGGGTAAACATTTAAACATGGATCAAACTAAAATTTGCCTAAGCCACATAACATTTTTACCCTAAATTCAAAATGATTGTTAGTTCTCCCTAACAAGATCAGAATGAATATTTTGGAATGTGTAAAGGATTATCTGCATTCAGTGTAGCAGGGGACAGAGGTTCATAACATTTTTTTTGTCATTCTTTCATTGTGAAGCTGACAGGTTTATTATAAATATGATTCAGTAACCAGAGGGGTGAGAAAAATAAAATATAGGACTTACATTTTGGCTCGGGATACATATGCTAGTATGAACTTGCAATGGCCACTTCCCCTTTCGCACAGGAGCTGTTGTACAGTATCAAAAAGCAGAGGAACACTTGACTGCTGGAAGCTTGAATATTGTCAAAGGCCACTTTTTCAAGTTGTCAAGAACAGCTACTAGATAAGAATGAATGGACTATGAAACAAAGGAAATGCAATTTTTTTTACAACTATCAATTTAATGGCAGTTTTTTGTGCAATTATAACAATTGTTGAATCAGGTCAGCCAATTACCAAACAGCATTTGAAGTTGAGTTTACTTGTATGCCACAAAACACACCTGTGCTAAGATAGGGAACATTTACTACGAACTGACTACATAGAAAAATAAAAAAATTTTACTTCATAGTGTCTGAAGATATTTTGGAAGAAACCAATGAAATACAAGCAATAGTAATGAAGTTAAATGAGTGTCATTTAAATCCTATTAATGACTTGGTTACAAGTATCTAATTTTAAAATTATTAGCAAGTAACAGATTTTATAGAAGGATAATGTTTATGTGGTGTTCAATACCCAGATAATTATGATAGAGCTTGCTAATTCCTGGCTTTTGTCTCAGTTTCATCCGTCAGAAGCTCAATGTTTTGCCTTGTATTTTATAAATTGTGTTATAAAAGAAATAATTAGCAGTAATCAGGATATAAATGTCAGCACCAAGTATCAAATCAAAACCTCCAGGATATTTTTGTAAAATCCTGTTAATCTGATCTGAGTTTCCCCACTCTAGCTTCTCAGCTTCTAGTGCTGCATGTAAGATGTGAAAGAGGACATCAGCTAATCCAATATGAGAATTTCCAATCAAGCTTATTTCTCTCACCAGCACAGCAACTAGGGCTTTCAGAAGACAAATTCAGCTCTATGTTTCTCCTCAAGATCTGTATATGATAAGACAAAGGCAAAATCAGAGATAAGACCTAACAAATCTATTCGTAGCACTGTAATTTAATTTTATTCTCTTGCCTTCAGTACTTCTTCATTATGATCAGTCAAAAGAATTTGATGACAAAATCTGCTGCAGAGCATGCCAGTAATACCTATCCAGCAGGTGACAATAATCATGTCATATCATCAAGGTAAAATAGAGGATTAAAAATTAAACTGCGCCATTAATTGATGAATGCTAGGAAATTCCATAGAACATAACCAAAGAACAAAACTTTTAGAGAAGGTGAGCTGGTATTGGGACTAAAAGCTCATAATCCAATCTTTCAAACATAATTTTGGTACAAATACTCGAGCATGCTTAAAAAAATCATTTTCTACATGATAAGCCCATTATAAAACTCAATTGCAAAAATTTTTGCTCACAAAGGATTGACTCAAGTAATTGAAAATTGAGTTTTGCTTGAGTTGAGCCAAGTTGACCGTGTGTGCAACACATAGGACTGCCTAAATACTTTCATCCTATTATTTCAAAAAGTGAGCACAAAAAAGATAAGACAAAACCTAAACAATAAGTCAAGCATCATTAACCAGCAACTCTGAAGTTGAGCATTAATCATCAATCCCAATCGTCTTGTTTTAAATACAAACTACACATGCACAAACATGGGATAAATGCATTGAGGGGATATATACGTACGAACTACACATGCACATACACATTCATGCTCCATGTTAGTAAAGACTGCAAAAGTAGGGGGCAAGGGAAACTCACAAATTATAGGATATAACCTTCAATCCATCTCCTCAAAGCAATAAAAAGGTGCCCAATTAAGCACCACAACAACAGAGGGTAATTCAAAGGGATAAGCATGCATATGCAAGAATTCAGATTCAGGTTGTTAAAGAACTGTCAAATGCAACACCTTGAAATTTAAGCATTACTGCCTTGGAAATGAGAAAACAAAGAGTAAATTGTATGAAACTGACTCACCTACACCAGAGCCCAATTCAATCATGGAACATCCTTGAAGAATCTCAGCATTCTTAGAGAGATAATCATTCAAAAGCATTGCACCAGGCCATACCAATTGCCCTGTCAAATCAAAATCAGCTGTTTCACAAATAGTTAGTAACTAAGTATACAATTTCAGAGCAACTATTACACCAAAAACTTCAAAAATGAACAAACAATAAATTAAAAAATGTAACAGATGATATCAGTGCAATGCTTAGCATGCATATGACAAAGTATGAGAGGCTTTTAGCTGCAACCACAATGTCCAAATGATGACCCAACAAGTTGGTTTTATTTTGGTTTTATATTAAATAGAAGTTGCAAATAGAAGATGTGGGGCAGTGCCATAGAATTGCTGTAATGTTGATCAATTCTAAATGTTAAATTCAGAGTAGTATTTCTTCTTCGGATGAAAAGAGGAGAATAATTGGGCACTAACAAATTTAATATTTTTTCTTATATTTCCTTTGATCCCAAAACTTACAATCCTCTACCTTCAATCTACTTATTCATAAAAATTACTTGGAAATTAAAATGATTAGTTCAAGTAATAACCCTCCATTTCTACAGATATTCATCCCAGCCTCTGCATCTGTCTGTCTATGACCAAAACATCTCACTTGAATAGTAAAACATAACCTGGAGCAATTAAGTACAGAATTCCACAATAAAAAATGAATATTTTTTAAGAAATTAGGGAACCTAGTTAACCAAGGCCGGATTTTTTTTTTTTTTTTTGGGTACAAAGCAGTCCGCAGTTTGGTAATAGAAGAATGGATTGCAGGTACAGGAATTTGAAGCCAGAGCTGCTGGATACCACAACCCACGAGGATGGCTACATAAACCAACTCTGTATATTTTTAGTAACAGAGAAATGGGTTGTCATTAACTAAAAAGAACTTACTTGAAGCTGATTGGAGGCAAAAGAGCTGGAGAACATGAGACCCAAATGTGAAAGTAGTTAGCTGGTAACTGCAGACATTGACAATCAAAATTTTTTCTTGTAATTGTATGCATATATGATAGAATAAAAAAAAAACAGAGAGTAAGAGAAAAGGGTGTCTAAATACTTGTCATTGATGAAGAAAGATTCGTCCAAGCAAACTATATCCTCTTCCTCTTCTTCTTGTCTGACCATTTTTGCTTCCCGTATAAAGCTTCAATTTGAGCTCCCTTGTCATTTCTACTTGTTGCTCTTAGGCAAAATTTATATATAGGCCGAATATAGGTAAACAAGAAATTGGCCCGTGTTGTCGATGGGCCGAGCCTAATCTACCGGGCCTTCTTTTTTGAAGATAAGCTCAAGACCGCCCAAATCAATTCATATCTATCTATCACATATTTTAATCTACTGGCTCACAATTGTGTGACATATGTCTAATAAAGATGCAAAGGATATTTCTCTTATGTTTTAGGGTTAGCTAGGTAATTAGGTGTTATTTGAGAAAGGAAGCTTCTGGTCGAGAAAAGAAAGGGAAAACAATGCAAAGGGATTGGGAAACGAAAAAAAAAGAAGAAAGAAAGGGGTAAGGAAATCTGTCAAAAAAAATAGAGACATGGAAAGGTGATAAAAAGAGAAAAAATGAAAAATGAAAAGTGATTGGCAAAGAAAACAAAAGGTAAGAAGAGTTAAAAGGAAAGAAAAATGAGAGGGTCTAGAAAAAAAAAATCTATGTTACGAGATTTCATCTTTCACCGCTACGGTAAAAGATAGGAAATAAGGAAGATTTGGAAGAAGAAAATAAACAAAGAAAAAAGAGAAGATTATTGCAAGTGGTATAGGGTTCTTTATCAAATTTTGATCAAAAACTCTCTCGTTAGCCAACAAATGAAAGGAAATTAAAATGAAAGAAAAGGATATGAAAAACAAAAAAGATTCACAAACTTTAAATAGGTTCTTTTATGAATTTTTCTTGATTTTATTTTATTTTATTTTATTTTATTTTATTTTGTTTTGTTTTTTTTTTTGCCTAAAAATTGAAGAAAGGTAATAGAGGAAGGACATGGACTAAATGGAAAGAGAGGGATGATCAAGCTTTTCAATAACGTTTTCCTAGACTCATTTTTTCAACAAGAAAATGAGTATTTGTTTCTTCAATTCTTATATGATTTTGATATATATTGAATGGAACAGGGTCTCTTTGATATACAAATATATATGTAGCTCTAAAAAATGTAAGACTGCATAAAAGATTTATTTAGCCAATATCTAAATGTATGAGATAAGTTATTTAACTCAAAATTTTGTTTTTTTAATGAAAGGTTGACAAAGTTAGTAATGACCATCTTGAAATATGAAATGCTTGCATGGTTGAAAGTTAATTATAAGTATTTTAATGCTTGCTTAGATGTATGAGTAGAAGCATATTTAGGTTGGGATTGCTGGATTATTGTAAATGAAGTGGGTTGTATTCTTAAAATGGCATTTATACAGACATATAAGAAGTTTTTTGGAACGTAAAGCTAAACTTGAAGCATATTGTAGGTTAAAGATAGCCAAATAGGCAAATAATGCATTTTAGAGTAATTAAGATAGCTTGACCCTTCATTGTGACAGAAAAAATTATGAATAGAGAGTTTTATCCTGCATATCATTCATTATTAAGACTAGATGTATAATAGTTTTGAGAAGTTTTGATATATATTTTGTCATATAATATTAGCAAATATGATATAGATACTATGGAAAAAAAATTAAAAGTATATAGAAAAACTTGTTTATTGAATTATACAAGCACTTTTGGTTTATATACAGCTAACTAAAAAGTAAACTAAAAAATAAATCTTTCTAAAATTGATCTCTATAATTAAGGGATTGTCTATCCTAATTTTCTATCATTAATTCTAGAGATATAAAGTATAACATACTTAATTCTAGGGATACAGATTACAAACAACTGTAACTAAATATTTTTTTACACTTTTCCTCAAGTTGGTGAATAGGTGTTTTTTATTTCTAACTTGTAAATAATTTCCTAAAATGTTGCATTGCTAAAATTTTTAGTCAACAAATCTACAAGTTGATCTTTGGTTGATACATATGATGTACAAATCAATCTACTATTTACTTTCTCCTTTATAAAGTGTCGGTCTACTTTAATGTGTTTTAATATGTCATATTGCACATGATTGTATGCAATTCTTATTATAGACTTGCTAACATAATAAAGTTTTATTAGTCCATCCCATTTAATCTTCAAGTCTTTTAAGATCATCTTTAACCATAGTAGTTCATAAATTCCTAAATTCCTTAAACCATTACTATAAATTCTATTTCAGCACTTGATCTTGCCATCACATTATGTTTTTTACTCATTTAAATACAAGATTATCATCTAAGAAAGTGCAGTAGTTTAAAGTGGATCTTTTGTAAGTAATTGAATATACATGATCAGCATCTGTATATACCTCTAATACTAGCCTCAAATTTTTTTTAAACAAAATACCTATCCTAGAATTGGCCTTCAAATAGTATAGTATAAGGTAGGTAACTTGTAGGTACATTTTTTTAGGACTATATATAAATTAACTTATCATACTCATAGCATATGCTATGTCAGGTCTAGTATGTAAGAGATAAATAAATCTTCTAACTAATTTTTGGTACATCTCTCTATCTATAGTAGCATCTTTATTAGCTTTTTCAAGGTTATGATTAAAATCTATAGGAGTATTTATGGGTTTATATGTGAGTTTTCCAATTTCCTTCAAAAGATCCATCATATATTTCTTTTGTGAAATGAAAATACCATGTCATGAGTGAGCTACTTCAATTTTTAAAAGTACTTCAATTTTTTTGATTATTTTATCTCAAATTCTCTAGTCAAACACTGTTTTAAAAAATCTTTTTCTTTTTCATCACCTCCGATTACAATTATATCATCAATATATATTAACAAAACTATGGCTCTTCTTAAATTGAATGGTTGATAAACAATGTGTGATCCCCTTGACTCTGTTTATATCTCATTGCTAGCATTACTTTAGCAAATCTTTCGAATCAGGTCTTAAGAGACTATTTAAGGCCATATAAAACTTTTTTCAGCATACATACTTTGTTTACTTCTACATGACCTCCAAATCTTGATGGAAGCTTTATATATATTTCTTCTTCCAAATCATCATGTAAAAAAGTATGTTTTACATCAAATTAATAAAGCTGTCAATTCTAATTTGCAACCAATGATAACAAAATCCTAACTATATTCATCTTGATAAATGAAGCAAAAGTTTCTTGATAATCCACTCAATAAGTTTGAGTGTAGTCTTTAGCCACCAACCTAGCTTTATACCTTTCAATAGTACCATTCGCCTTGTATTTTATAGTGAAAATTCATTTACACCTAATTGAATTTTTTTTTAGGCAATTGTACTAGCTCTTATGTTTTATTTTTCTCTAACACCTCCATTTCTATTTTCATGACTTGCCTCCATTTCTTATTAGATAATGTCTTAGATAATATAGTTAGAATATAAATAATGTTTAGACTTACAAGAAAATTTTTATGGGATGATGAGAATTTTTTAAATAAAACAAAATTAGATATTAGGTGTCATAACATATAGATCCGTAGATCTATTGCTAGATATGGATTAAAAGATTCATTATCAATCTTTTTTGTTTATGTGTGATTGATGACCTAACATAACTTGTCCTATTTAAAAAGGAGTCTCAAGATTGACTTAGGTATATTTAAATAGTAGATTTTAATCCATGAAACTAGATTTTAGATTTGGGAGTGCAATTACGCGTGAGGAAGTTTATAGCACCTTCATAGTGTCCATCCAAAGAGTGATACCAGTTTGATTTCAAATTATCAAAGCCTTAACCATATTTATGGTTTACCAAAATATCTAATATTGAAAATTAATCTTAAAATTACTCAAATAGTTTAGTAGCAGTTTAAGATAATTCTCTCACCTCATAAGTATTCATGAAGACTAATATCCCACCTTGAAGAGGCTTTGTTGTCGGATTCATTTAAATTTTAGTTAAAGAAATAATAGTAAAATCTTCTAATAATTTGGTAATATTTACTTTGATGTAGATTTTTCAATAATTTGGTGAGATTTTATTATAAAATTATTTTTTAAAAAATATATTAAATCTTCTAATAGTTTGATAATATTTAATTTAAAATGCAAATCTTCCAATAGTTTGGTAAGATAAAATACAAAATATTTTATTAACAATAGATTTTTTAAAATTAATTTATGAAGTTCTCCAATATGTTAGTAAAATTTATTTATTTATATATATATTTGAAATAAATAAAATTATAAGGTTTTTCAATATGTTGGTAAAAATTTTTTTTTTAAATGATTACTTTCTAATCTGTTAGTAAGGCTTTTATTTAAATTTGTATTTTGTTATATAAAAATGTTTTTTTTTAAGAACACTAAAAACAATAGACAAATAAATAAATGAATGAATAAGTAAACAACATATAAAGAAAAGCAAAATTACTTGTGGTTGGCTTAGCTTGGCTTGGCAGTTGAAGAAGGCGGTTACAGGCACAAATCAACTTGAGCGAGTTGGAACTCGGTTTCCAACACAGCACGACTCAGTGCAGCAGAAAGGAGAATGGGTGAAAACCAGGTTGCACTGAAGTTCAGGTTCAAAAAGCTAAACCCGGAATCCCTACAATTAGCTTGGCTTGGTAGTTAAAGAAAACGATTACAGGCACAAATCAACTCAAGCAGCTTGGAACTCAATTTTTGGCATAGCTCGGCTCAGTGCAACAGACGAGGGAGTGGGTCAAAACCAAGTTACGTTAAGGGTTAGGTCCAAAAAACTAAACCTAGAAATCCCTAGAATGCAAAACCCTACAAAAATTCAAACCCCAAAAACACCAAATCCCAATTCTAAAAAATTTAAACAAATAAACCCACAACCTAAAATCTCTTGGTTGCTAGACAAATTTATCTATTTTCTCTCTAGAGTTTCTGTATAATCTTTTTCTCCCATTTTTCTTTTCTCTTAAAAGTTTCATATATATATATATTTAATAATCCATCTCTTTATGTGTAGTTTCTGTTTATTTATAGGGATTGAATCCCTTTAATTTTGAAAAATAAATCAAATTGATTATGATTTTATTATGACTTTATAAACTATGATTTAATTTTAACTTTTCTTTTTTACAGGATTTGCATGAATCAAGCCAAAATCACTCATTTTCTGATTTTTCTCTCTCTTTTTTTTAACTTTTTTTTAAAACAAATAAAATCAAATCAAATTAAAATTGAAAAATTTTTTATTATGCCCGAAGCTTCGTTTTTTGTCTACATTGGGTATAGTAGATGCTTAGTACATTATCTAGCTCTTTTTTAATGGCACCAGACATATCATAATCACCAGTTTTAGTTTTAGAAGATTCATGCTCATTTTAAAAAATAAAGTCGATATTACAGTTACCTCATTTCCAAAGTTATGATCAAGTTCTTAGGTTTACATTGGTTCAGGAGCTAGAACTTTACTTCT